CCTCCAGCCCCTACACCCCCTCCCTATCTCTGACACCCCCTCCAGCCTCTACACCCCCTGCCTATCTCTGTAACCCACTCCAGCCTTTACACCCCCTCCCTATCCCTGTCACCTCCTCCAGTCCTTACACCCCATCCCTATTTCTGCAACCTCCTCCAGCCCTTACACCCCCTCCCTATCTCTGTAACCTCCTCCAGCCCTTACACCCCCGCCCTATATTTGTCACCGCGTCCAGCTCCTACAACCCCTCCTTTTCTCTGTAACCTCCTTCAGCTCCTACACCCTCTCCCTATCTCTGTCATGCCCTCCAGCCCCTACACCCCCTCCCTATCTCTGTAACCTCCTCCAGACCCTACACCCCCTCCCTATCTCGTAACCTCCCCAGCTCCGACACCCCCTCCCTATCTCTGTAAACTCATCCAGTCCCTACACCCCCTCCCTATCTCTGTAGCCTGCACCAGCCCCTACACCCCCTCCCTATCTCTGTAGCCTTCACCAGCCCCTACAACCCCTCCCTATCTCTGTAATCCCCTCCAGTCCCTACACCCCCTCCCTATCTCTGTAGCCTTCACCAGCCCCTACAACCCCTCCCTATCTCTGTCACCTCCTCCAGCCCCTACAACCCCTCCCTATCTCTGTAACGCCCTCCAGTCCCTACAACCCCTCCCTATCTCTGTAATGCCCTCCAGTCCCTACAACCCCTCCCTATCTCTGTAGCCTTCACCAGCCCCTACACCCACCTCATGTCTATAACCTCCATCAGCCTCTCTCTGTCACCCCTGAACAGAACTGCATGCCGTGTTCTAAACGTGGCCTCAGTACCATCCTGTTAAGCTACAACAAGACGTCCCAACTCCTATACTCAATGCTCTGGGCGATGAACACAAGCAAACTGAGACCTTTCTTCACCGCTCTGTCTACCTGTGACTCCACCTGCAAGGAGATATGTTCGTGTACCCCGAGATCTCCTTGCTCTGTAATACTCCCCAGGCCCATAATATCAAGTGTGTAAGCCTTACCCTGGCTTTGCCTTACCAAAATGCAACACCTTGTATTTACCTAAACTCCATTTCCCATTCCTCGGCCCACTGCACCAGCTGATCAAGATCTCACTGTGTTCCCAGGTAACCTTCATCCCTGTGCCCTACACCACCCATCCTGGTGTCATCCACAAATGTGCTTAACCATACATCCTGAATTCTCATCCAAATTATTCATTTAAATGATAAATAATAGTGGGCCCAGCACCGATCCCTGTGGTACACCACTGGTCACAGGTCTCCAGTCTGTTAAGAAACCCTCTGCCACCACCCTCTATCTTCCACCTTTCAGCCAATTTTGCGTCCAATTGGCTAGCTCCCCCTGGATCCAGTGAGATTTAACCTCACAACAACACACCGAGATGAGGCAGGATCTAATGAATGGCAGGACACTGGGGAGCTTAGAGGAACAGAGGGCTCTTGGGGTAATTATTCACACCTCGCTGAAGTTTTAAGGGAAGGGGCATGAGATTCAGAGGAGATTTGGGAAAAAAGATTTCTCACACAGTGGTTAGTGGGAATCGGGAATGCGCTGTCTGGGAAGGAAAATACTTGGATGTGCATTTCAAATATCATAAAATTCAAGGATATGGGAAGAGTGCAGGAAATTGGGATTAGCTTGCCTTTGGTGGTGGCGATGGTCAGTGTGTGACTTGATGGGCTGAAGGGCCTATACTATGCTGTTTAAAGGAAAACAGGAAGCACATTGCTCCCGAGAACCTCTATCACTGACTGAGCTACTGGCCACATGGCCCAGGACACCCTGCTCTCTCTGGTTCGATCAGATGGGTGATGGTCATACCCTGCTAGGATGAGGCACTCTAACACGATATTGGACGCTGTACCTGAGCGTGTGTCTGTGCTTTCTGTTCACAGCCATTTGTCATGTGGCCTGTGCTACTGGAGGGACCTGTTTTCCACCCTTTCGCTGTGTCTGTCCCCCGGGATACACTGGGCTCACCTGCCAAACAGGTAAGGCATTTATATCCACCTGGACAGACAGGTAAGGGACTCACACTCACCTGGACAGACAGGTAAGGGGCTCACACTCACCTGGACAGACAGGTAAGGGACTCACAATTGCCAGGATAGACAGGTAAGGGACTCACACTCACTGGCACAGACAGGTAAGGGACTGACACTCACCTGGACAGACAGGTAAGGGACTCACACTCACTGGGACAGACAGGTAAGGGACACACACACACCTGGAAAGACAGGTAAGGGACTCACACTCACTGGGACAGACAGGTAAGGGACTGACACTCACTTGGACAGGCAGGTAAGGGACTCACAATTGCCAGGACAGACAGGTAAGGGACACACACACACCTGGACAGACAGGTAAGGGGCTCACACACACTTGGACAAACAGGTAAGGGACTCACAATTGCCAGGACGGACAGGTAAGGGACTGACACTCACCTGGACAGACAGGTAAAGGATTTACACTCACCTGGACAGGCAGGGAATTGGGGGCAGCTATGAGCGAAGGTTCCAGCCCAGGTGATCATGCCTCCAACAATACAGAGGCTTGTGTGAACACTCTACAACAGGACTGAGTGGATGGGTGCCTGTTCAGGTTCTGTCTGATTGCCTGCTTCAGTGCTGAGTTAACGTCGTGCCTTTCCCTTCCCCCCACAGCCATCTGCAACCCTGCATGCCCACCTCTTCAGCGATGCCAGGCTCCAAACTTGTGCTCATGCCCTCCTGGGCTCACAGGGCCACAGTGTACAGCTGGTAAGAGACAGGTCGGGTCTGATTGTCCTCTCTCACTGTGATGTCCCTCACACAATGCTGACTGAGGAAGGGGTACACAGAGCCAGAGGAGGAGTGAGGGAAACTGTTGGTATGGGGGCCCAGTACAAAAATCAAAGGGTTATTCCTGACAGTGAAAGTTGAGATAGTAGGAATGTTAAACGTGTGTAAGGTCAGGTCAGAAAGGGATAGAATGTACCCTCTCCACTGAGGGCACTGGCTGTGTCCAGTGAGGGATTGAGGTGGTAATAGGTTACAGAGTGAGGGATTGAGGGAGTAATAGGTAACAGAGTGAGGGATTGAGGGGGTAATAGGTAACAGAGTGAGAGATTGAGGGGGTAATAGGTTACAGAGTGAGGGATTGAGGGTGTAATAGGTTACAGAGTGAGGGATTGAGGGGGTAATAGGTTACAGAGTGAGGGATTGAGGGCGTAATAGGTTACAGAGTGAGGGTGGGGCATTCAGGTGGTAATAGGGTACTGGTCATTCCCTGCCTTTATCGGTGTTGACAGATATCGATGAGTGTATGATGGGGAAGGCTCGGTGCCAACATTACTGCATCAACATTCCCGGATCGATCAGCTGTACCTGTCAGCCTGGGTATCGCCTCGGCAATGATGGGAGATCCTGTACTGGTAACAACATTATATATCACAGTCTGAACTGTCAGCTCCCCAGCTCTGAGGGACTTCTGCACTGTCGGAGGGCCAGTGCTGAGGGACTTCTGCACTGTCGGAGGGCCAGTGCTGAGGGAGTGGGCACTGTCGGAGGGCCATTGCTGTGGGAGTGGGCACTGTCGGAAAGTCAGTGTTGAGACAGCGGGCACTGTCAGAGGGTGAGTGCTGAGGGAGCGGGCTCTGTCAGAGGGTCAGTGCTGAGGGAGCGCCGCACTGTCGGAGGGTCAGTGCTGAGGGAGCGCCGCACTGTCGGAGGGTCAGCGCTGAGGGAGCGCCGCACTGTCGGAGGGTCAGTGCTGAGGGATGGGGTTACACACAGCTCTGAGACCTGCTAGTAATTTGGAGAGAAGCAGGGATATTTTTACTTCTGCCTTGTGTTGAGGCTTTGACATGTGAATATCCTCCTTTCTCACTGCAAGATGTGATCCACAGTGTCGGAACGTCGGGGTGTGTCTGTTCCCAAACTACTGCACCTGCCTGCCCTGGTTTTTAGGAGCAACTTGTCAATTGGGTGAGTATCTTGTATCTTCCCAGAACTTAGCGCGAGGCTATGCCCATCACCAATAAGAGACAATCTAACCACCGTCCCTTTACATTCAATGGTGTTACGATCACTGAATCCCCCACTATCAACATCCCGGGGGTTACCATTGACCAGAAACTCAACTGGACCCACCACATAAACACAGCGGCTACAAGAGCAGGTCAGAGGCTGGGAATCCTGCAGCGAGTAACTCCCGTCCTGTCTCCCCCCAAAGCCTGTCCCACCATCTACAAGGCACAAGGCAGGAGGGTGATGGAATACTCCCCACTTGCCCCTGGATGGGGCAGCTCCAACATCGCTCAAGAAGCTCGACACCATCCAGGACAAAGCAGCCCCCGCTCGATTGGAATCACATCCACAAACATCCCACTCCCTCCCCACACCGACGCTCAGTCGCAGCAGTGTGTACCATCTACAAGATGCTCTGCAGAAATTCACTAAAGATCCTCAGGCAGCACCTTCCAAACCCACGACCCACTCCCATCCAGAAGGACAAGGGGCAGCATATACATGGGAACACCACCCCCTGCAAGTTCCCCTCCGAGCCACTCCCCATCCTGACTCGGAAATATATCCCCATTCCTTCAGTGTCACTGGGTCAGAATCCCCGGAATTCCCTCCCTAAGGGACATTGTGAGCCAACCCACAGCACATGGACTGCAGCAGTTCAAGAAGGCAGCACACCCCCACCTTCTCAAGGGGGGCAACTAGGGACGGGGCAATGAATACTGACCCAGCCAGCAACGCTCACATTACATTACATTAATAAATGAAAGTGAAGGAAGGTGAAGACGCACAGAGGTTACGCTGAGGTTACGGTGATGTTACAGTGATGTTACATTGAATTTACGGTGAGGGTACGGTGAGGTTACGGTGAGTTTATGGTGAGGTTACAGTGAGGTTAAGATGTGGGTAAGGTGAGGGTAAGGTGAGGTTAAGGTGAGGTTAGTGAGGTTAAGGTGAGATTAGAGTGAGATTAGAGTGAGGTTACGGTGAGGTTACGGTAATGTTACATTGAATTTATGGTGAGGGTACGGTGAGGTTAAGGTGAGTTTAAGGTGAGGGTACGGTGAGGGCACTGTGCTGTGATGGTGGTGAGCAGGTCAGTAAGCAAGCTGCTGATTGTTTCCTGACTGACGGGCCCCGGGCCCCGGGCCCCGGGGATTATCAGCCTCTGGCCGCCCGTGTTAATTTGATGGTGACATTGACCAGCATTGTGTGTGTTGACATGAATTCTGTCCCTTTAGCCACTGGAAAAAGTGCTGTAATGCATTCAAAAATTTCAAACATTTTCAAAAGCGCGCGCTGGACAGAGTAGAGAGAGGGAGAAGTTGCTCTCACTTAGAAAAGGAACAAGAGTGAGAGGGGAGGAGATTGAAACTGATGTACGAACAAAGTGAGGGTGATGTGAGGCAAAAGCCTTTCACCCAGTGAGTGGTTAGAGTGTGGAATGCGCTGCCTGAAAATGTCGGGGAGGCAGGTTCAATTCGGGTATTCCAGAGGGACATTGGGTGGTTATTTGGGGAGAAATGGGGGTGGAGGGAGATGGGGAAAAGGCAGGAGGTTCACCATATGAGATGATGCTCATTTGAAGAGTTGTCGCGGGTTTGACGGGCTGAATGGCCTCTTCTGCTCAGGAATGAATCTGTGACTCACCATATCCCTGATCATCACAGTGTTTACCTCTGTTTGTTTTCGGCCAGGCCCCAGGGAGCAGCTGGAAGACGGGGGTTCAGAGGGGTTTAGCCTGACGCCATTGCCCCCCCAAGTCTGGGGGCAGCAGCCCATCTCTCAGGTAAGGCTCTGCGCCCCCCCTCCGCCATCGCCCCCTCAGGACTGACGGGAATTGGGGTGGGGGGTCTGGGTTACAATGGGCTGCGGGAGCCCCGTACCCCAATGCCAGACGACACCCACGCAGAATCCCCCGGGCCCCTTGTGCGGCTCCGTCCTCTCATCGCTCCCCCGAGGGAACTGCACAGCAAGATCCCACAAAGGACTGGCCGGTTTCTGACCTAGCGCATGTGGCGAGGCTGCGGTTGGAGTTGGGTAGGGGGTGGTGGGAGGTGATTGGGGCCATGTTGGGGGCATGAGGACCAGTCAATGACCCCAGTCTCTTTATCTCTCCCTCTCTCCCATTCCCAATCCTCCTCTCCATCCCCCCATGCACCCCCTGCCCCCCAGCAGAGGCAGTGACCACCACCCCGATCGCTGTCAGACCTCCTTCGATGCCTCAGCTCAGATCCGGGGCGAGACTTTCTTCTTCAAAGGTAGGCCGGACATTTGACCTCAGTACCACCAGCCACTGGGATCTTCCCAGCTGCCCCCCAGCTCAGGTGGGTGCAATCTTTTTCCAGGACTCTCATCCAGCCTGATCCTCATCGTTGTCTCTTCACTGTACTGCACCGGTCTGCGTGCTATTCTACTCAGGAGGCACCACAGTCAGTTCTAAACATCCTCAGAGCCCACATGGCCTGTGGCTGAGCAGGGGAGGCCCAGCCTGTATCAAAGCCTGGTCCTGTGCAAGGCTGGGCCAAGGTTCTGATCTCATCTTAGACCCAGATTCTGGCCTTAGCTTAAACCCAGCCTCAGTCTCCGGCCTAGACCCAGCCTCAGGCCCCGGCCTGAACCCAGCCTCAGGCCCCGGCCTGGACTAACCTTCAGTCCCCAGTCTAGGCCTAACGTTAGCCCATCTTGAGCACGGCCTATGTCTGCTGCCTAGGCCCATTTTCCTCTCATCAAAGCCCAGACTCAGGCCCTGGCCCAGACTCTAGGCTGTGTTCCATAAGCTCAGGCCCAGAGAGCTCCATCCTCCAGATAGCCTGAAACCTGAGCCTGGGCCTTTGTCCCTGGTCTAGGCCACACCCGACTTGAGTAGTGTCCAAACACAACCAGAACCCCTTACACCTGAGGTTGTAAAGGCCGTTCAGAGACATTGCTGAGTGAGTGGGAAATGATAATGAAACAGGAAGCTTCCCATCCAGTACCTGTATAAACACAACGCAGTGGGTTCAACTGCAAATCGGGCTGTTTTCGCCCAAGGTTCTCACAAGGCCTTGTTAAAAACATCTCCAATGGTCACTATGATCTCTCAATGACCTGTTATCAAGGACCCTCTTGTCTGCCTTCAAAACATTCAATGTTTCTGCAGCAAATCTCAGAGGCAGCTTCTCCATCATCAAATACAGGGCCATGAAACCATTAATGTCTGCTGCTTTCTGCTTATTTTATTATTCCTTTACCGGGTCAGGGTGTTGCTGCCTGGGCCTAAAGTTATTGCCCATCCTTAATTGCCCAGGGGGCAGTTTACAGTCAACCACATTGCTGTAGGTCTGGAGTCACATGTAGGCCAGACCAGGTAAAGGTGACAGTTTCCTTCTCTGATGGAAGTTAGTGAACCAGATGGGTTTTACAACAATTGATCATGCTTTCAGGGATATCATCACTGAGATGAACTTTCAATTCCAGGCTTATTAACAGAATGTAAATACCACTTGCTCCAATTGTGCCAGTTTAGTCTCATCCTCAAATCCCTTTCTCTGGCCACAGTACCAGGCTCTGATCCCCAGTCTAGTCCAAGGCTCTGTACCAGTCTACATCCAGGCTGTGATCCCCAGTCTAGGTCAGGCTCTACTCCATTCGAGACCCAGGCTCTGTCCCCCATTTCGGCCCATGCTGTGCTCCCAGGTAGTCCTTGGCTCTTCTCCCAGTCTAGTCCCAGGCTCTGATCCTCAGTCAAGCCCCAGGCTGTGATCCCCAGTCTAGGCCCAGGCTGTGATCCCCAGTCTAGGCCCAGGCTCTGATCCTCAGTCTAGGCCCAGGCTGTGATCCCCAGTGTAGGTCCAGGCTGTGATCCCCAGTCTAGGCCCAGGCTCTGATCCCCAGTCTAGGCCAAAGCTGTGATCCTCAGGCTAGACGCAGGCTCTGATGCCCAGTCTAGGTCCAGGCTCTGATCCCCAGTCTAGGCCCAGGCTCTGATCCCCAGTCTAGGCCTAGGTTGTGATCCCCAGTCTCGGCCCAGGCTCTGATCCCCAGTCTAGGCCCAAGCTCTGATCCTCAGTCTGGGCCCAGGCTGTGATCCCCAGTCTAGGCCC